AATGCCACCAGCAAACAGATAAGGTTTGACTGAGAGGCTTTGTAAAGACTCAAAATTCACAAGGTTGGCCTTGTTTTCTCACAACCTCAGCGATCCTTTCTGGCATGCTAGATATAAACTTCTGAACCAAATCCCGGTTTATAGTGAACCATTCTTGTCTTATCAGAGCCTGCAGCTGATCACAGTTTGTTGGCTTCTGCTTGTCCACTTGCTTTTTGAGGAACGACCACAGGTTCTGCATAGGATTGAGGTCCGGAGAGTTTTCTGGCCACAGGTCCAGAACTTCCACCTCATGATCTTTGAGCCACTTGGTTACAGCTTCTGCCTTGTGGCATGGAGCCCCATCATGCTGGAAAAAATATTTGTCATCGTCAAACTGCTCGTGGATTGTCGGAAGAAGGTGCTCCTGGAGGACATTTTGATACCACTCTTCATTCATAGAGGTGTCTCTGGTCAGAAGTGTGAGGGAGCCCACTCCCTTGGATGAAAAGCAGCCCCAGACACGCACCATATCTGGATCCGCCACACAGCTCTTCTGACAGGCCTCGCCCTTTCTTCTTACCAATTCTTTTCCAGATGTAAACAATTGGAAGGTGGACACCTCAGAGAAGATTACTTTGCACCAATCTTCTGCGGTCCAGTCAACATATTTCCTGCAGAACTGAAGTCTGCCCTGGATGTTCTCCTCTGACAAGGGCAGCTTCTTTACCGCCCGTTTCCGTCTCCCTCCGTAAGCAGATGTTCGGACTCCGACCTGCTGCAATTCTTTCGCCAGCTCTGCGCCCAGACTGCCACCACTGCTCTTGCTGGATAGTTTTGGGCGTTCAACACAATGTAAAACCCGCTTCACCGTGGACAGAGACACTTGCATTCCAGCAGTTTCCAGTTCCTGCCAGATTTGAACTTTGGTGGTTCCTGGGTTGTCTTTGAACATCTTAACTAGTTTTAGTTCATCTGAGTGCGAGAGCTTTGGCCTTCTCCCAGACCGAGGCAAAGTGCTGACGCACCCAAATAAATCATACTTGCGTATAATCGACTGAACCGATGATTTTGGAATCTGCAGGTCTTTAGAAATGGCTCCGAGAGATTTTCCTGACTTGTGTAGATCAACAATTCTCTTTCTCACATCTTCACTGAGCTCCTTGGATTTCCCCATGGCTTTAAAAATAGATGTTCTAGTGAGGGCTGTGGAAAAAAGGGATCCTTTTATGATGGCTGAAAGAAGCTGTATTAATAAAACCATTAAAGTAACATTTTTGCAGTTGATAAGAGAATGCAAACTTCTGATTGCAGCTGGAAGCTAGAGGCCAGGTTCCCTGCAGCTGGCTGAGGCCCAGATGTGCTGCCCTCAGCAAGCGTTTCAACACGTTGCAAAGGGGACTTTGCACACGAAGAACCACAAGCTGCTGAGGTGCAAATGCTTCAGCGACGAGCCAGAGGTTTGTAGACACAGACAGCCATGATGATCATGAGCAGCAGCAGGACAGCCAGGACACTCCCCAGCGTTACTGTGGAGGAGCAGAAAAACACACACAGACATCAGCAACAACACTTCATAACAGAGAATAGGAAGCATTCAGCGCTGCACAGGAGATCAGAACATGGCGATGACACTGTAAAAAAAAAAAAGGAACAAAAGAACAAAACAAAACAGCGGCCCCGAATGGAAGATTCCCATTCCTCATACTGGCTCCCAGTTAAACGTCACGTCTCACCAAGATTCTGCTTTTGCAGGACCTCATATGGTCTTTCTTTCAGGTCGAAGTCCTCCTGAGCGCTGATTACCAGGCTAAAACAAAATATTACAGCCTGTGGGATGAGATGAAGGATCATGTTACAGGATGGAGGAGGAGGAGGAGGGTGGGAAGCGTTTCTCCTTCTTCTTCTTCGGCTGCTTCAGGGTCCTAAACATAAAGCTACTGACTACCGGCGGAGCAGTAGCGCCACCAAGGGGAGACTGCAAGGAAATGTCAGCTCCCAGTAAAAACGTAATGTTCGTCATGGTCTTTTAAAGAGAAAAAGTGGTTAAATTACTCCAATAAAATAAATCTACCAGCAGGTTGTCATCATTACATTTATTATTTTGACCAGAATGTTCTAATATAACTATAAATCAGACCCATATATTATAGAGAAATGGTGGTCTAGTGGTTAGGTGCATTGTGCTTGGAATCCTGAGGTTCTTTTTTCATGCCCCACTCCCACAGACTGCCACTCTTGGTCCCTGAGCAGGGGCGTCAGCTGACCCAATGCTATATAGGGGCACAATATGGCAAAAGAATAAAAAATAAATAAAAAAAATTGGCAATTATTTATTTAAAAAAAGCATGGGCACAGATAATTAATGCAAACAAGTGAGCAAATATTTTATGAATAAATAAATTGTACCATCAGATTATTTTCTGCATCATTAAATATCTACCTGAACCAAACTGAATTGAATTGGCCCACTTATGAACCTAACTGTATATCTCTAATCCACTACTGATGAAGGCGCAGTTTATCTTCATTAAATATCTGCCTGCAAACATGAACTTGAAAACTGAAAACTTGAAATGTGGAACTGTAAAAGGAAAAAAAAAAAAAAAAAACACCTCTACATACATACAGGTCTGTGTTTATCATTTCTATTTGGGCCCATCCTATGATGGTGTGATGGTGATGATCCTATAAGGTGTGTATCATGGCCAGAAAGATGGGGGAGCTGAATGTTCTTTTTTTTTTTTTTTTTTTTACAGTAAATGGTTGCATCTCGGCTTCATTTTTGCAAAGCTGTCAATCAATTGTGACTGGCTTAATTTGGAGAGTTCTCCGCGTGAGAGCCTGCCCCTGGAGTACCCAGGCATTGCAGATCCACCACGGGGCACGTGCCCCTGTGAAAAGGGTCTGCTGACGCCGATGTCCCTGAGCAAAGACACTTAAACCCAAACTGCTCCCCGGGCACCGCACAATGGCAGCCCACTGTTCACCAAAGAAATGGGTGAAATGCAGACAGTGAATTATATAGTTTAGGTAATTGGGGAGGGGGGCTGACTTTGTGACACAGTCGATGGATGCAGACAGACACACACAAAATATGTCAGAGGAATTATTCACCTAAAATTAAACACCTTATCAAATGGAAATGGCTAAGCAGGCCTACATCCAAAGGTATTCATCTTTTATGGACCTTTTTTAATCTCTGCAGACCCTTTGGATGGTAAATATGACCACAAAATCCAGGAAATGTTATTAGGAAGTCTCAGGCCATCATTCATTAAACTTGGCCATGGCAAACAACATCAATGAGTAGAGAATATAGATTCAATAGAAATATGAGGCATCTTTTTTATGATAAGGCACATAATATTATTTTGGCCTTTATGATAATGACATTTTGTGGATGTGTGTTTTGGTACAAAAAGGTGTCACTCACAATTTTTCATGTAATTTTTTCCCTGAGATAACTATGATCAAACCTTTATAACTCTTGAATAACATTTTTTAGTTTGTAACTATAATCAACTGGCCTCACATATAGTATAAATATAAAAAGGAATCGAGAAAGATTTAGTTATCAGTTATTCCTATAGATCACATAATTTACAGATGTGAGATGAACTGTTTCCTTCAAAGTTCTTTGAACTGTGACAGAAAGTAAATTTTAATGTTTCTGATAATTATAAATAAATGTTCATGTTTTTTCTTTAATTTAGAAAATATTAAAAAACAATGAAAAACATACAGACAGGTCAAACTTTTTGGGGTACCCAATACATCATCTCTCCTCCTGTCGGATGGATATAGGTTTTTTTCAAATCTTTTCTTCTAGCTTTCAAGACATAATGAATATTACGAAATGTCAGCCACGCTGGACAGAGTGCTTTAAATAATGTCACTGCAACAAGAAAGCATGCAGAAAGACAGAGGCCATCACTTAATTGGATGTATTAAGAGACACACACATATCCTTCTAATTAGTATCAGCTTTGGCTTGATTAACCAAGGAGGTGTATCTAATTGGGTTAATAGGGTAAACAGAAAAATGCACCTACAGCAATTTTAAAAAGTACTGTGAGTATTGCTCTGTTTATTAATCTCCATGCTCGCTCAGCAGGAGCGAATGACGATAATGTCATTATGCAATTAGCTGTGTTTTCCTTTACATCGACTTTAGACAGAAAACCTTTAACCAAACCTCTCTGATCTGATAAAGTCTCCTGCATGATTAACCATTTCTATAGATAGCATCTTCTCCACGATAAAATATGATCACACACCGTGTGCATCTGAGAGTCTAATTTACTGTATAAATAAAGGATAACAGAAATTAAACCAAATCTTTAATTTATTTAGATTAAAATGCAACAATTTTGATAGTTTACAATCTATATTTGCTAAAATGTCTAATTTTAATAACCAATAATTCTGGTATTTCCTGCTGATGCCCTTGCAGTATATTGTACCATATTTCTTTTAGAGCTAAGTGTTAGAAAATGTTTTTTTCCCTTGTAATTCCATAGATGAGTGTATCAGTCTGAAAAATTGGCGGTGTATTTCAGTGTCTCTTTCATGTATCCACTGCGCCTGCTTGGTCTCCACTTCAATAGCGTCTCTCACACCAAAGGGCTTTAATCTACTCACCATCCTTGAGACAGCAGCGGCTTAGTGGGCCTGAACTTTATGTTTGGACCCATAATTATCCATATAATCCCATTAGATAATGGGATTAAAGTAAATTCTAAGGATTAATATCTAAACTGGAAGGTCTGTTTGCGTTCTATTTCTTTATCCAAATATATTTTAATTGGGTAAACTGACATCACAGAGACTTAACAGGCTTTTTGTAGATTTTTAGCTGGAAGTTTCTCTCACAATCATTCAGAGTACAGTCATGGCTTGTATAAAAAAACAAAAACAAAACAGACACCGATAGCTGGCTACAGCAGTACTGCTGTAGATTTTTCTTGGTTAACATCATCTGAAACATGAAACTGATAGAAGGAACAGCACAGATGAAACCAGGTATTATAATTACTTTATAGACAATTTGCAGAAATCATGCCAGGGAGGACACAACAATCATCACACAAGTCTCTGAATCAACCATTTAAAGTATAACTTCTGACTAAAACATAATACATCTGATGATACACATCTGAACAGTCTTTAGAATAAAAACCTCAGTGGAGAGGCACAGCATCAGTACCACCTTTACTGTGTGCACATGTTTAGCTTAAGGCAAAACAGTCCAACCAGAGTCAAAGGACACTATATGTATTCTTTTTTATTATGTTTATAGGAATTATTGACTTAAGAGTTTGAGAAAATAGACAATTATTCAGCGATATAATGAAAGAAAGATGTCTGCTTTTAATGTAAGAGAATGTATATTATTTATTTTTTGTATTGTTCATTTATATCTTGTAGGATCTAAATATTAACTTTTTTTTAGGTAAAAGTTATCAGATCCTAATGAAATACAACTATTTAATGAAGACTGGATACCTGTCAATGTGGTTTGTGCCTAACCACACTAAACCAAAAAATAAAAGCAATATTTTTCTCCGGAAATTAGATTTGCTATGAAAAGAATTGTTATCTCGTCCTTTGTTGGAGATACTTTGGATCAAACATAACATCTTTACATTTGACCAAAGTAGAGAAAATGCTGTAGCAGAGTCTGCCTAATGACATCAATAATAAAATGATATAATCTAAGTATTAATGTCCTTTCCAAAGCCTTATATAGGTGCATCTCAATAATTTAGCAAATATTCGAAAAGTAAATTAATTTCAATGATATACAATGTATTACAGAGTGATGTATTTCAAAGTCTTATTTCTGTTCATCTTGATAATTATGGCTTGCAGATAATAACAATAACTAAAACACTGAAAAGTAAATATCCAGCATAACTAGGGAAAAGACTGCTGACCTAACAACAGTCCTGCTAAAGATAAGGTAGCTGTCTCCCCTTCACATGGAGGATGAGCAACAGACTTATACAAAATTATAAAGAAGAACTATCTGAGCATCCTATCGGGGCTAGACTTTTGACAAAGAATTTAAATTTTTTTCGTTACTTAAAATAAAACTTGTTTTTTTCTTTTTTTTGGAATCTGGAGGAAGAGTAGAAAGGCGCATAATCCCACTTGCTTGAGGTTCACTGTAAAGTTTCCACATCCATTGATGAATTTAAGAGCCATGTCATCGACTGTGACCTCTCAAGTCTAAAGGTCATGCGGTTGTCCACCAGGACATTTTAGAAAATCATGTTTTAATCTACAGCCACCAGAGAAACCCAATATCCTTATCATCCTAGCAGGACAACATAAGGATATTCTCTTTGCCAGCCTGAATCCATGCAATAATTCATTCCAAATGCCCAGTATTGACAGCAGTACAGCACTAGTCAGAATGCCTGAAGTAAAATCCTTTTATTAACCTTATATAATATTCCAATTTACTGAGATACTAAACTTTAGGCTTTTTGTTTTCTGTAAACCATAGTCCTCAAAATGCAGATACATAAACAATTAAAATACATTACTCTATATGCCATAATGAATTTAATTTAAATAAAACTACATAAATTAAAGTTATTAAAATGAAATACCACTTACAACAAGCTAGCATCACATGAGAAAAAAAGCTATATTATGGAGCTGTGGACTGCGCAGGTGATACAGGTCTGAATCACACCTGGAGCAAAGATGTACCTATTGCTATGTTAGATCCTCCTGTGTAGCAGCCTTGAATTTTTCACCAATCTGCTGTGAAAATTAGCTGACATGTTCAACATCAGCACCAGGAGAACAGTCAAGATGACAGATCATGTAGGGGTTCAATCACAAATGACTTTAAAATGTGGTTCAAAGAGGAGTTCAGAAGCACACGGTGGTGGTCATGTCTTTCTGTGAGACGGTGGCCATGTTCAGGCTGTCAGGATGGATCTCTGGGATGGTCCTCTCTGGTCTCAGACACACAGCCAGTCTCTGTGAGAAACAAGGCCTTGGTCAGACGTAAAACAGGTGATATAGTAAACATGTTTGGATTGTCTTTTTTTTTAATCCGCAAACCTGTTTGAGAGAACCAGGGGTCCACACCAGCTTGTAGACCATGTAGATGGGGATCCACATGAAGGAAGAGAAGCCAATTATGTAACCGACCGTGATACTCCAGTCTGGGTACTTATAGTCAAACAGCGTGAGGGGAGGTGTTTTCAGCAGAGAGCTCACTATAATATACTGAGAGGAGAAGAGAAAATGTAGACTTCCATATTAAAAATTGCATGTGCAGATAAAATAGGTGGTATAACTGAATTACTATCGGCTTCTGACCTCAGTAATCTTGCAGGTGAATACCAAACAAACATACATTAAATCTTACTGGGATTCAAGTGATATGATTTCATAAACGATTATCCTTTCTAAAGGTAAGCAGCAGAAAGTTTGGAGAACTGTATTAATATGCTCATACTTTTAGTGTCTGAGAGAATAGAGGCAGATATGGTTTGTATTATTTTTGTAAATGTACTACAGCTTTTGAGGGTCTTTGAGAGGTGAGTGGTAAGGCTGTTACAAAGGTCCATCCATAAAATACTTTGGTTTCAGTTGTTTTTTGATGGGAAACAGATTTTTTTCTTCCAATGATTTATCCAAAGATAAATAGCAGATTTTGTCTTTTTGGTGATGTGGTCTTGTGACGTTTAAATTGCAGTATACTTTTATAACCTAATTTCATGCTTTGTTTTTGCCTTTATAAATGTTAAACTCAGATATGCTTTAGGCTTCTATCTCTGAGGTTTTGTACCACGGAGAAATAGTTCTGTCTTTTGTTTGTTTGATTATTGGCTGATGGGAAAATCCCATTTCCAGTCTTAAAACTAATTCTCAGTTAGTGTGACTGGGTCATGCTAACGAATGAATGAGCTTTTCACTGTAACTCTGACTGTAGTTTTTTAAGTAGAAGATTAACCACCTTAGTTTCGAGTCTTCTGAAACGTCTGTGTCAAAAATTTGTTAATGGCCGTGTTCTTTGTGGTCCAAAAATGCTTCCTATTTCACCTGCTTTAACCTTCTAATGTGTTTTCTGAGTTCATTCTACACTTTTTAAAAATGTATTAATGGGAAAATATTGAACATTCAATATTTTTACCTGTCGCCTGTGAATATTTCTTTCAGCCCACTGCAAATGCTAGTAGACAATAGGTAGAATAAAAAGAAAATAGACAAAAAAAAGGTGGATTCAAAAAAAGCAGAGACCTTAGAGTAGAAAATAAAGGATCACATTTGTTTTGGTGTTAAAAAGGTTTGCTGGAGAAAATATTCAACACTAAGGGATTTAATTGAGTTTAGTGGCTTCATTTCAGCAGCCTTAAAAGGTTGTTCCAGAAAGTGTTTTGTTTTGTACTTATATCTTATCTCTCTCTCTCAGTCTCCCAAATAGACTATTTCTTTATGAATCAATTGCTTTCACATGAATGCAAGTTAACATGTTTCCATTGTGCTCTTCCAAACTATATGCCGCTGCTGCAGTAATTCAGGTTTCCCATTAGGTTATTGGTGTAGTTAAAACTAATTATGTTTTTTTTGTTTTATCTCTTACCGCCAAAAATGCAGGACTTATGGCGACCCAGCACACTCTCCAGAACAATCCTGGTGCTTGGCCAAGCATTGCCTGAATATCATTACTAAATCTTTTGATCCCTAAAAGCATAAATGACAGACGTCAGGACTGTATCTCTTACAGCATATTAACAGTAGAAGGGACAGAAAAAAAAAGAAAGAAAAAGTATATGTGTACCATAGAACCAAGAAACTGCAACAGCTTCAAGGAAACCCACTGCAATAATGGAGCATCCTACTCCAAACTCTTCCAGTAGCTTCACCACATAGGCCCCACCCTATAATAATATCAAAGTTATGGGTTAAAACATCAGTGAATGTTTTATACTCAACACCATCATTTGAGACACAATAATCAGAATTTAAGTTTACAAAAGATAATCTTGACTTAGATATTACAATGATGAGGAGGTAACGAGAAAAAAAAACATGCTCAGATGAGCAAATCAAACTTACATTTGTAAGGGTGCTTAGAGAGCCCAAAAAACAGACGAACACCAAGCCTAGAACAAAAAGCTCACGTCTGTGAGAGAAGTACTCTGGATATTCATCCAGCACAGCGGTGATGATTGCCTCCAGCCCTCCGAACTAAAAATAACACAAACATTACTATTAGATCACCCATACATTAAAGTGAGCTGCAAGACACCTAAGTTGAACTTAAAAAAACATTTCTAACCACTTGTTTTATTGGATTAGGTCAGTGGTTCTCAAACTTTTTCTGTCATTCCCCACTTTGGACAAGGGGGAATTTTCAAGCCCCGCCTGTCCCCATCGCCCCAACACAATGCTAATGAAATATGAAACAATCTTAAAATGTTCCAATTTTATTGAAGTAACAAGTAGTATCTAAATACAAACTATCTACATCAAATAACAGCAAGCTCAAAAATAAAGAAAATAAAAATGCAGCTGTGTCAAAATTTGTATCAAGCTCAAAGATAGAAAAAATTAATGTGCCACTCTGCAATCTGTTAATAAAAGAAAATAAGTGAAATCCATCTGGCAATACAGGTCTATTTATCCCTGCATTAGTGGCTTCAATGAGCCTGTTTTGCATTGCACAGTTTCTCAAAACGGGGTTGCAGGCTTGATACTGCCACTCTCAAGTCATGCTTTGTTTTCAGTGAAGCAGCAGCTGAAAAGCCCATCTCACAGAGATATGATGTGGCAAAGGGAAGAAGAATGCACACAGCACACATAGTGGGGGAGAACGGGGTTGGGAGGGAGGAGGCGCCCCACGGCAGCAGGACAAGAAAAGGAACGATACGTGCTTTCCCGTAACCCCCAGATTCCACATACTCCGTCAGCGCTCCGCTCCGCTCCGCCCCGCTGACGTACGTCGTGCGGAGCGCTTGTCTTTCATGGAAATCAATGAGAGCTGTTCCACATCCACCGCTACTCCTCCGCACGTCTCCGTCCACGTACGTCTTCTCCGTCCGTCACCGACAAATTACGGAGCCGAGCTATTTTTTGCTCCGCTCCGGTCCGGCCAGGTCAAGATCCGCAATTGCAATCGCACCAAACAGGAAAAAGAACCTCGACAAATTCCGGTTCGTCAAATTAAAATATAGTAGCAACAGATTGGTGACTAGAAATTATAGCACAATTCTTATAAATATCTAAAAAATAAAAAAAATAAAAAAAATAACACCGTTTATTTAAATGATTGGATCCAAACTATTGGTTATTCACCAACCAGGAAGCAGATTTCTCATCTCCATTAAAATATTTATTTTATACCGAGGGACTTAAAGTTTAATCAAATCCATTCAAAAGAAACTTCTTATTACATGAATGAAAAGAGATGCTGAGTTGTAGAGAACAAGTTCATAAAAAAAAAGCAGTTTTGAATTATCCTTATCTCTGTTACAAAAATCTACAAAAAAAAAAAAAATATATATATATATATATATTTGGGCAGAAACTGAACATATGCTGGATGATGGTGGGATTTTTTTAATATGTCATACTAAATTAAGCGCTCACAGGGTTCATACAGGAATGAGTGACTCTAATTTAATGCTATTTTAATGCTATTTGAAATTATTTTAATGCCATCAACAAGAACCATGTACACAAGTTATTAGTGTACATGAAATATGGAGCTGTAAGCACAGTTCCATGACTCCTGTATGTATGTAAAAACACACACACACACATATATATACGTATATATATTCTCAAGCTTTTTCTCCGCCTCGAGCTTCCTTTCCGAACATACGGCTTTATAAACAGTTCCACGCAAATTAATAGCGATATAATATATCTGACAAAATTGTTTTTAGAAGCATTTTTATTAAAGAATCATAAATGCAACGATAAACATATTTAATTAATTTTAGTGCCAATTAAGGGCTTGATTAAAAAAAGAATTATGAATTGTAATTATTTTTAATGATCCGCGGAAACCCTGGTTCATCTGGCGCATGCCCTCTACGATCTCCAAGGAACTCAGAGCGGAGCGGAGGGGACAGCGGCGGCTGTAGGCTTTGCTTTGTGCAGGCGGTCTGGAGCGCAGCGGGGCGGAGCGCTGACGGAGTATGTTCTCCAAAAGTCGCTAGATTTGTCGCTAGTCGCTTTTTTGAAAAAGAGTCGCTGGAGGGGTCTGAAATATGGCGTCAAAGTCGCTGAGTTGGCAACACTGGGGCGCGAAAGTTTATTCCGTTACAAATAATATGCCGACGTCACGTCAATCATCATTTTGGTACTTCAGTTCCAGGGGAAATTTTTCTCATATCTAATGTTCTTTTAATTAGACTGCATGTAGGCTAGTAATGATTACTTTGTGGGTTTGATTAGTCTAAAAAGCGGCAACATACAGCTATAAGGACAGTTTTCTCTCACACGTTATAGTCACACACACACACACACACACCGGAACTTGGCGCGCCCCACCTGTCACGTCTCAATTCCCCACCAGTGGGTCGCGCCACACACTTTGAGAACCGCGGGATTAGGTGCAATGTTTTAAAGAGCTTTTTAAAAATAAAAAATCTGAGAAGTGTGGCCCCATCACTCAAAAACCCATCAATGACATCCAGCGCTAATTTGCGTTTAGTAGTTTCTATAACAAATAATAAGTAATTTCCTCTTAGTGTGAATCCAGTTTTCTGTGAAGGTCTGCGAGTTATACCACTGAACATTAGAGAAAAGATATGTTATGTAGAAGATTGTGCAGAAGTTTCGGTTTGGTTTAGAAACAACATCACTAGTTTCATTTAAGGGGGCCCTGCTCTATGTAAAATCCAATCCAACTTTATTTATAAAGCACTTTAAAATTGCGCTACAGTGAACAACAGCAAACCCATACACAGAATCAGAGGACTTAAATTTATAAAATCAATAAAAGCTTAAATAAAAATAACAAAATTAAAATAAGAACTAAAAATAAAATAAATTAGTTTCAAGGAGGATTTAGAATCAGACAAAGATGTTTTAATACGCAATGGGAGGTCCTTTCTTATTTTTGGAGCTTGATCCCCCCTAAACTTTTGTTTGTTTTTTTAGGCACCAAATGGAGCAGCTGATGGGCTGATCTGATTGTATGAAGGTGCATGTCCACCTCAGTTGCAGACTAGTGCCATTAAGAAGAGATAGTAATGGTAGAAACCAAGCTGGACTGTGAAATTGCTGTTTGCCATGTTGTGCCATTTAAGGAAGGGGTCATGATCCCTGCCTCCACCCACCCAACCTAAGCAAATGGGTGATTAACAGGCCCTGATGTCTGCTGAGGAGATAATGCAGTCATTTGATTCAACTGAGGCTGGAGCAAAGACGCATCTAAAACATAAAGGACAGTGGGTTCCGAGGACAAGAGTTTGTGTTCCCTCTAATTTAGAGCACACAGAAAAGATCATTCAGTGGTGCCTCTGCTATGAAAAGAAACAATACTTGCCATCATAAAAAGGTCATGATGCAGAACACCTCTGCTAAACAATACTCTTGAACAGAAAACCCCTCCATTATCCATTTGATGAAAGTTAAGATTATTTACAAGAAAGAATGTTCAAAAAGTCTGGATTCTAAATATGGAAAGCCAGTAGAAAGATTTACCCAAAGATCTATATCTTTTCTGTGGAGTAAGCATATTGACACTGTATCTAAAGTCTTTTTACAGTAGAATAGCTGGATTTATACCGACATAAAATCCCACACAGGTAGACTTAATTAATTGATTTAGTTAGGGGAGAGATGAAGGGAATTAGTGGTAAGGAATTTTCAGATGATTTATTATAAACAGATTGAAGGCTATTAATCATTCGCCTTCTGCTTTATAACTATATAGTAATTTATGTCAATTCATAATTAACATATTTTAATAAAATAACATATATTAATAAAAATCCTTAAAGTTTGTAGTTTAAAGAACTCCCCTATTCTCTGAAGATGAGACATGCGAATTTGTTGCAAGCATTAGTAAACCTCAAAGCAGTGCAGATAGGTGGTTACCTTTTAAAAGGCACATTTAATAAACATGAGTAGAAATAGCAGTGACATGCTTCTTTTTTCAGCCCTTTGTTGTACAAACTGAGGTTTCAATTACATATTATTATGTAATGACACAGATTTCATACCGTGCTATCGAGTCCCAGTGTGATCATCATCACAAAGAAAATGATTGCAAAAAAAGTAGACCCCATCATGTTTGCAATTGCTTCCGGGTATGTGATGAACAGTAGACTTGGCCCTGAAATGCAAAATAGTAATAATGACAATAAATGTGTTTAAGGCAGAATTTACAAAATTATGAATATGCAGTGGTTACGTTTCAGTCATCTGATTTAAATGGTCATTGATGAATTTTCTGACCTTTATCTTTGGCCACATCCTCCACCTCTACTTTCCTCATCTCGGCCATGTAGCCCAGAACCGTGAAGATTACAAAGCCCGACACAAAGCTTGTCAGACAGTTCACCAAACTTGTCACAATTGCATCACTATAAAAAAAAAAAAAAAAAAAAAGGTAAAATACACGTAAACGTAATGCAACTTACTTAGATGATGTTACTGTCTGGTTTGATTTCTTTTGGAGGTGCCTTCTGTCAAACAATTTTACAACAACCATATCCACATCTGGCGACAGCATTTATGAAAGATTTAAATGCAATATTCCACTAATGAAGAGCAATTTCTTGCTACAACTATGGTTTTATGGTTATAACAGCTTAATCTGATGTAGAAAAAAAGAGAATGGAGTGGTATGATATAAGGAGACAAAAAATTAAACAAATTTAATAATAATTAGAAAAAAAAAAAAAAATATATATATATATATGTATATATATATATATATATATATATATATATATATATATATATGTATGTATATATATATATATATATATATATATATATATATATATATATATATATATATATATATATATATATATATATATATATATATATATATATATATATATATATATATATACAGGTGCTGGTCATAAAATTAGAATATCATGAAAAAGTAGATTGATTTCAGTAATTCCATTTAAAAAGTGAAACTTGTATATTATATTCATACATTACATACAAACTCATATATTTCAGATGTTTATTTTGTTTAATTTTGATGATTACAAATGACAACAAATGAAAATCTCAAATTCATCATATCAGAAAATTAGAATATTACTGAAGACCAATAAAAACAAAGGATTTATAGAAATGTTGGCCAACTGAAAAGTATGAACATGAAAAGTATGAGCATGTACAGCACTCAGTATTTAGTTGGGCCTCCTTTGGCCTGTATTACTGCAGCAATGCGGCGTGGCATGGAGTCGATCAGTCTGTGGCACTGCTCAGGTGTTATGATAGCCCAGGTTGCTCTAATAGTGGCTTTTAGCTCTTCTGAATTGTTGGGTCTGGTGTATTGCATCTTCTTCTTCACAATACCCCATAGATTTTCTATGGGGTTAAGGTCAGGAGAGTTTGCTGGCCAATTAAGAACAGGGATACCATGGTCCTTCAACCAGGTACTGGTAGCTTTGGCACTGTGTGCAGGTGCCAAGTCCTGTTGGAAAATGAAATCTGCATCTCCAAAAAGTTGGTCAGCTGCAGGAAGCATGAAGTGCTCTAAAACTTCCTGGTATGTGGCTGCGTTGACCCTGGACCTCAGAAAACACAATGGACCAACACCAGCAGATGACATGGCACCCCAAACCATCACTGACTGTGGAAACTTTACACTGGACTTCAAGCAACGTGGATGAAGTGCCTCTCTTCTTTTCCTCCAGACTCTGGGACCTTGATTTCCAAAGGAAATGCAAAATTTACTTTCATCAGAGAACATGACTTTGGACCACTCACCAGCAGTCCAGTCCTGTTTCTCTTTAGCCCAGGCAAGACGCTTCTGACGCTGTCTGTGGTTCAAGAGTGGCTTGACACAAGGAATGCGACAGCAGAAACCCATGTCTTTCATACGTCTGTGTGTGGTGGTTCTTGAAGCACTCACTCCAGCTGCAGTCCACTCTTTGTGAATCTCCCCCACATTTTTGAAGGGGTTTTGTTTCACAATCCTCTCCAGGGTTCGGTTATCTCTCTTGCTTGTACACTTTTTTCGACCACATCTTTTCCTTCCCTTCGCCTCTCTATTAATGTGCTTGGACACTGAGCTCTGTGAACAGCCAGCCTCTTTAGCGATGACCTTTTGTGTCTTGCCCTCCTTGTGCAAGGTGTCGATGGTCGTCTTTTGGACAACTGTCAAGTCAGCAGTCTTCCCCATGATTGTGTAGCCTATAGAACTAGACTGAAAGACCATTTAAAGGCTTTTGCAGGTGGTTTGAGTTAATTAGCTGATTAGAGTGTGGCACCAGGGGCCATCAATTTTGAACCTTTTCACAATATTCTAATTTTCTGATATGATGAATTTGAGATTTTCATTTGTTGTCATTTGTAATCATCAAAATTAAACAAAATAAACATCTGAAATATATGAGTTTGTATGTAATGTATGAATATAATATACAAGTTTCACTTTTTAAATGGAATTACTGAAATCAATCTACTTTTTCATGATATTCTAATTTTATGACCAGCACCTGTATATATATATGAATGTATGGATTTTTTGCATTAGGTTTTCTCCTGTATACAATTAAATACCTAAGTGAAAAACAAAGGGATTCAAGTCATCATTTGTTATGTCATATAGGATTATTTTGGTAGTTGGTATTGAGACATTAAATTATGTTTTCTTTCATTTACTAAGTTATGTAAACCTCACAGTAAAAATGTAGGCGCTGAATATTTGTTCCATCAAAAACAGATTAGAATACAAAATCCCTTTATTGTCCCACAATGGTGAAAAAATTGTCACACAAATGTGGACCTTAGAAAAATGTATAAGAATAACATACTAGTGAAGAAGATAAACAATAAAATACTATACTGTAAATTGTTTTAACAATATAAAACTGTGCACCTGGAGAATAAATAACCAATATACAGCTATGGACATTTTTACAGTAAGGGATATTTGAAAATACCTCTAATATCAGAGATGTGCAAAATGACAGCAGCATGTTATTTAAATGACTAAGATAGAAACTTTGCAAAATCAGCATTAATAAACAACTCATTGAGGTCATTGGATTGGGAACAGTGGTGGTTGTAAAGTGAAACAAACCTAAAGGTTTGTTTGTTACTATTGTGGAAACAGACCTAAATCAATTATAATCTAAACGATTACGCCTCTCAGAACAGATACATTATATGTTTTCATTAATAGCTTCCAGAGGAAGCTACCTTCTATTGTGGCATCTGGTTAATTCATGGTGGTGCTTTAACTTAGAAGCATGCTCGCAGATCTGCAGATGCAATCTTGTTTGTGTTAGTCCTTTTGTTAAATTTAAACAGTGTTTATATTAAACATGTATAGTTATTGTGTGCTGATGGGCTTTTACTGTTTCATACTAATCTTAGCTAATGCATGATTTACATCAGTTTTATCTTAATATCAAGACTATCTACTTTATTTTTAGTTGTAAAACACAGATTAAAATTAATCAGAAGTTGAATGGTCAGTGGACTTGTAGGCAACATACCGATAGCAGTTATTTGTAAAAGGGTTGTAGCTAGAAAGAGCCAGGAGAACCCCAAACCCAGGACCCAGAGAGAAGAAGATCTGAGCAGCAGCATCCACCCACACCTGGAAAACAGATGCAGACTTTTTGACCCTTTCTTGATTCTGTCATCTGGGATGCTGCAGTTTTTTCAAACATGGAAATTAATCTTAAACATTACTTCCCATTGGCGGTTTAGTGACTTAACTATTGTAAAGTCTCTGTTTCTCTAAACTGTGAACTTGGCTAATCAATGTAATTCTGTGTTTGTCAGAGGAAGTTCGAGCATCTGCACAGCTGTATGCAGGGAGATCTGAAGAGCATTCGGCGGTAAAAAGAGGAGAACAGCGTTGGATATCCGTGAGTGAGAGAGAAAGGGGGGAGCCTTTGTTAATGGGTAGAAAATCTAAACTAATTATGCATCTTATTATCCTGCTCTGTGGTTTATTTATGCATCTCATTTCATCTCATCCATATTCGCTTCCCAACAAAGCTCTTGCAAAGGTTCAGTGAAACACAGCATTGAGCCGGAGGGAGGAGAGGACTTTTCATAGATGGAAGAGATATATAGGCAGATTGTCAAGAGGCTGCTATCTATTGAAGAACTCTGTCGAAAAGATTTGTTAAAAAACCCTCAAGTTAACCTAAAAGTATTTACAATAAACATTTATTATTCTTCAGAAGAAAAATGAATCACTTTAACAAACATTCAATTTAGCTTCTTTTATAATTTTAATGAAACATGAAGCCAAAAATAGGCTACTAGAATAAATAAACAAAAAAATCTCCTTCACGTTTGGCCTGCATATGGGATAATATCATATGGTACAAAACATGTAATGTTTTAAGCTGATAGAATGGGTTAGGAATCAGCCTATCATAATAGAAATGGAAAAAGTCTTCATGCTGTACTTATTTTTATTAAGACAGATAATGATTATCTGAATAACATACACTGGTCTCTAGCAGCTTGTCCCACTGTGGTTTCAGATAAAATACCACTCCTCTCCAGGCCCCTGGCAGAGTCGCACCACGAATCAGCAGGATAAAGAGCACAATGTACGGCAAGGTGGCGGTGACCCACACAACCTAATGGAGAGGAAACCAAGGGAAATAGGAACATTTATTTATCTTGGTAATTCAATTATAAAATGCTTTTTAAGATGAGTTACACGTGAATGCTTAAAGCTAAGGAAAAGAGAAAATTAGAAAATGAACAATAGAAAAGGATGATGTACAGTATGTGCACTTGATATTTAATGAACTACGCCATTGCTGCATCTTTGCTGGAAGTCTTTCTGGGGATTCGGTCAGTTTGCTGAGAAATCAAGCAGCCACTTTGACATTGAGTTGTTGTGTTTAATCACTGTTGTAGTTTGTTTTGATTTTGGAACTAGAGTTGAAATACCAATGTTAAAATGTATATTAAAAGAGGATTAGACATATAATTCAGAAATAGGTGATATTTCAATGCTGAAAGCATTGTGAGATAACAACATTTCAACAGTTTAGTGTACAACATTCCGTAAAAATTCAAAAAATATCCACTGGACTTGGTTTTCAAGATTTGAAGACGTTTCGCCACCTCTCCAGGAAGCTTTCTCAATTCAAATGTCTGGATCCGCAGTGAGTTTGAGTCTTATATAGACAGTGTACTCAGTGTACAACATTGTTTTGATGCTGAATTAATGTTTTAAACTGAAATTATTTCACCACCATTTACAACCTTTACCGTCAATTGAATGCCAGCTCTCTTAACTGAGCCAGCCGGGTACTTTTAGCAGTGTGGTGAAGGTGCCAAGTCCAAAATATGATATAAGCATCTTCAATAGGATTGGCATCAGAAGGATGCATCAAGTGATCACGAATTTCCAGATAAAAGGAAATTCCTGATTGACTTTGGACCTGAAAAAACAAAACAGCAGCAAATGACATGGAAACCCAAATCAACACTAACAAAGAGAATTTTAGACCACCCAGTAATACTAAAGTAATTTTTTTCTTTAGTCCAGATATGACACTTTTAATGTGTCTGGTTTAGGGGTGGTTTTACACAAGGACTGTGACGGTTATAGTTAATGTCCTAGATATGTCTAGATGTGGTGAAAGTTAAATATCTGAGTTCATTTTCTCCTGCAAATGTATTTTCCCTCCACAAAACTTTTCATCTGTGCCTGAATACTACCTGGATTGTTAGTAGCAACGTTTCTGTGATGAATATCTTTTACATAGCTACAATTAAACCCTAATCATAATGTTGAGTGGAAATAAATGCTTAAAATCCATCTATGTGAGGTGTGAAGTAAACTTTTTTTTTACTGAGGTGCATCTGAAGATAAAAAAGGATGTCCTACCTTCCCTGAGGTTCTCACACCCTTCCAGAGGCTGAAGTAGACTATAGTGAAAATAAGAAAGAGGCAGAGCATCAGCTGCCAGCGAACGCCCCCGATGTCTCTCAGCCCTGAAGATTTGTGGATCTCAAGAACGTTTCTCCTATTCAAAGAAAATCCTTGTATCATCAAGTTGTCAGCAAACAAGGCAAGAGGGGTTTGGGGATAAAAATAACCAACTTGGCAACATTTCTGAGGGCTATTACAGTAAAAGCTATTTATACATGCATATGTGGTTTCTTTTACTCACACTTACATGCACTTACGTGTAAAATTCCTCTGCCGGAGACCTGGAGGAATTTGTCCAAGTCACGTTATCCATGCCAAAGTAGTTGGTGCAGTTGGGGGTGTTCCAGACATTATTGCAGTTTGTCCATGGGAGGATGCTGGAGAAGGAGGAGTAGAAGTAGAAGAGGGCCCAGGCGATGATGGTGTTGTAGTAAAAGGACACATACAGAGCGATGACACATATGGCATATCCTATTCCTGAAAGAGGAAGTCACACCTTACATAATATCCCCACTTATAGCTTAGTTTTGTAAACCATATGCTGTGAATAATTATGAAAAGGGTTCAATAAAAGGGGCTGTGTTAAACCAGTTCATTGTTTACCATTACCTTTAAAAATGGGACAGATGTGTTTCCATATGGATATGGCTCCAGTTCTGTGAAACTGCCCCAGTGCCAGCTCCATGTAAAACAGCGGTACGCCACCAAAGATAGCCATCAAAATGTAAGGGATTAGGAAAGCACCTGAACACATAGAAAAGAAAAAAAGAAAGAAAGAAAGAAAGAAAGAAAGAAAGAAAGAAAGAAAGAAAGAAAGAAAGAAACAAAGAAACAAAGAAACAAAGAAAATAAAAAAGAAACAAAGAAAGAAAAAAGAGAAAGGAAGAACCATAAAAAGTTGCTTATGAAAACCCAAGTAAATTTTAATTTCCTGCATTGAAAATCATTTTTATTGTGACCAAAAAAATTGGAAAAATACTTATGACTTTTTATCGTATGTCATTTCAAGTTATGTTCATTTAGTTGCTTCAAATTGCTCTACTAAATGTAACCTTCATTGTAGAATCAAGTGCGTCAAGCTTTTTCTTTCTTGTATATAGACATTTTAAATTTCAAGAGACGAAAAAAAAAACACGGACAGACCTACAATATGATAAAAATAGCTTAATTGAAAATAAAAAGAGTGGAGGTGAAGTTGTTTTTATGAAGGTTTTTTTTTTTCTTTTTTCAGAACGCGCGGTCGGCACCATGGACAGTTCCCATCATTAGTTGTCTTTTATAAAGTAGTTTTAAATGGATTATGATTTTTAACACGTATGTTAATTATGATTATTAATATCATTGTAACTTTTAAATTATATTAAAAAAGTAACTGACTTATCAAAAGTAGTTTAAATATTGTGTTTGGGAGGATAACATCGAAAAACAGTCTTACCGCCTCCGTTTTGATAGCAAATGTAAGGAAATCTCCAAACGTTTCCCAAATCCACCGCAAAACCGATGACAGACAGAAGAAAGTCCATCTTTTTACTCCATTTGTCCCTGGAGTCTGTCTGGGTGACAGTTGGCACAGCCGCGGCGTTGTTGGCGCTGTAGCCGGAGTTTGGGGAGCCCTGCTGGGGCAGTGTGCCGGCCATGACCGCTGAGTCCTGTTCGGAGCAATGGACTGTGAAAAGTCATGGAGAGGAGCCGCTCCAGAGGAGAGGGGGACGTTTCTCCTGAATCCAATGACAAGGCCGAGTGGGAGGAGTTGGTGAACCTGAGGAGACACGGATGGAGGTACCTGTTGTTTGTGGGGAAGGGGGGTTATATGTTTATACTTTCTTTCTTTCTGAAATATGCTTTGACATGAAATGATATGACTTAAGTTATCTAAATAACCTGCTGAAATTACCTAATGCTTGAACTCTGCTTATTCTATTATTTTTAAGTGCTGTTCAAAAAAGCAAAAGTAAAAATACATCAGTTTTACCTTTATTTTGATTGTCTATATATAGGCTGTTAAAAGGACATAAATTATGGTTTGAAATAGGTCCCCTGATTCAATACTATATGAAATCACCTTTATGAAACTAGTCTCACTGCAAACAACAAATTTCAAGCTAAAAAAAATTATCAGCTGAGTAGATATTAGGGTTTTTGTCACGTTGGTAGTAAACCTCCAACAGAATCACATGTGTTTTGCATCAGCTTTTTCATCCAATACCTTCCTGTGTTGTTTTCAATCTTTGTCTCCATTAATTGTAATCAGTTTCCATGTCATTGCAGAAAAAAAGTATCTCCTAAGCTTAATGAATTTAACCACCATATGTCACTGTGGGGAAGGCATTTTCAGGGTCATGCGTTAAGTGTGTTTTCTACCACACAATTTAACTAGAGCTCAACACTGCTCTTACCTGAAAGAAGTTTTTTGGCAAATTGAAAAATGAACTACCTGTCTTTCAAGGATAACCTTTTTCCTGCCATTTATCCAAATTTATGTTGGTCTTCAACTATTTTGTCCTTGCAGCAGATTTTTCTGCTTGTGCAATGTGTGCAAACTTTATCTTGCACACATTTTTAGCTTAGATTAACCTGTAAGATATACATAGCCTGGGATAATGTTTTATAATCTCACCCTACACTAAAGGTCTCAACAACCCAATACCTGGAGTGAATCTTGATCATTGTCCAGCAAACCTATTGGGCCTGATTAGTTAGGATACTATCATTACTTCACGAAATCATTAAAATCTCTGTTTACCTACTACATGAGTTCTGAGTTGTTTGAGTTGGTTGCACTGGATTTTATTGAAGACTTTTAGAAATAAGAAAGTGATTTTTAATTTTCACATATAAACAAAAACAATTTTCTTTTTACTTAAGAAAAAATCATGTCTAACAAAGTTTTTATCATAGTATTTATTGACTTCTTGGCAGAAGTTTCAAATGCTGAAATGAAAATCAACTGATACATTTCAAACAGATAGGTCACAAAAAAGGCAAAAATTAGATGTATTAAAAAGTTAAGTGAAAAGAAAGAGGATGACTATATTTAAAATAAGTGGACCGGTGATAGATCCTTAAACTACCTTGTCCTCCTGATCTGATTTATTAATATAGTTTGCTGAAAACACCTCTGTCATATCCGAGCAGTTTAAGTGCGCTCATCTAGAAAACCTAATAAAATGACTATCATATCCAACCCTTTCAGCTCTGCATAGACTAAAAGACTACTATCTGGATACAGTGGCATCAGAAATCATAGGTGAGCAGGAAGTAACTGAGGGAAAATGGATATGACGCAGTATGAGATACAGGCAGAGGCATCCAGCATCATCTGGAAATTGTCACGTAAAAGGCCCAGTTGTAGCCAAACTGTCTGGACTGGATGTCACATGACTAAAGTTGTTATATTAGAATTTATGAAAAGGTGCAGATGGCTAGTATATACTCCTAATAATCACATTTTAATCACAACTCACATGCATCAAAGAAAAAAGTCAATAGGAATTCACCCATCTGCAGAGGTAAGTAAACAACAGATGACATAAAAACCAAACTTGTTGTGCAGCCAGAATGGGGCACCCCGAAGGCCCATAGCATCATAACACTTTAACTCTAAAGCTGGTGTCCCTGGTTTCCTGAAACACACTCTCTTGTCAGTCTGTGTTGGCATACACGACCAGAAGAACATCAGATTGACAGGGGCTTGTATCATATGCCCTGCTGCCTGTAGGAGCCCGTCTATTCTAATCACACACGGACAGGTGCACGTTGACCCCTACCCTTATGCACTGCTCACTGACAGGTTGGACAGTTCTGAAATCTTACTGCCCAGGTAATGGTAACTTTCATTTATTTACAGAGACAGTTTCTCCTTATAAATACAGTAATGTTTATTATTGTAATATTTATAATTTCATGCAAACATCAAGTGTTGGCTTTTCTTTATCACAGATAATGTTCTACTGTGTGTCAGTTTGACAAACCTTTGGCTTGTGAGTACAGTACCTGGGTTTTTACATTCATTAATGGAGAGTTTAGTTTAGTTTAGTTAATTGTGTTAGCTGAAATGTTAGTTTTATTATCCTATTCTTTAGTTAACATTCAGTTTGGCTGATCTAACTTTTTATCATGATTCAGGTAAGCATCTTAAATACTGTCATCTGGCTATCACATGTTTTTATTTGTATCTCCTTTGTGTTTATATCACCCCTAAAGATTTGGTTCTTATTAAGGGCATTTTTAAGAGGAGTTTGTTTTGTTTCTCTCAGCACCAGCAGCAAGCTGGCCTCCTTTCTGTTCCCAAAGACTGGGTTTATCTCACTGTCTCCTCGTTCGGGTTGTTTATGAGATCTTCTGCTGTGTGTCATAGAGTAAAGTTTTGCACATCCCTGTTAAGTTGGAACAGAGCAGACAAGATGTGGGTGAGGTCTGTCTGCTCCTTTGTTAACTCAATTCACCCAGGTGCAATATTTTAATATTCAGTTCACAAGCTGATCAAGTAATTTTGCACTCAAACTGAGTCTGGTTTCTCAGCTAAATCCCCCCTGCAGTCCCTGTAGTAGGTAAGAACGGGAAAGATAATTCACAATCAGGATAGGATGTAAGTACAACAACCATGGTAAAAGTAATTTTAAGATAATGTAGATAAAATTTAATGTTACAAAACATTTCTATGAAATTAATCACACAAACACTTTGTGTAAAAACACAAAGGGACTAACTTATTTAGAAAAACCTTAATTGCAAATTTAACAACTGAATATTTCTTGAATTATTTTTAAGTTAAATAAACAAAAACAAAAAACAAACTCTTGGAAAATAGGACAGTTTTAATAGGAGATAGAGCCTACAGCAGGTCCCATTCTGATATTTTAGAAGTTCAGGAAATGTATTAACAACTTACTTTCAGCTTTGAGAATGAAGTCGCTTAGAGAGCCAGACTATGTCATGTTGGTCGTTGTTTTTAATATATTTGTAAGCAATTTTTCCATACTGATTTCAGTTATTTTCAGAATTATTTCAACCCTTTAACAGACCCATACGCAACAACAAGACAGCATTTCTTGGTTATATATCCTTGACGAGAAATTTGATTTACGTACTAAAACCATGCAAACCATTTGCACCTAAAAAAACAAGAGTGAAATGTCTCAAATATCTATACATAAATCAAAAACAGGTTACAATCTTCTCCAGTGTTCTGAATAACAATTAAGAATAGTTAATGTTTTATTTTTTTTAATTCTTTTTAATAACTTTAATGACACATAATCAGATTTGTCAACGGTTAGCGAACAACTTTTATGAATGCACTACAGCCAAAATTGGAATGCAGTGGGAGTGACTTATTGTTGTAGTTAGCTTAATTCTAAATAAAGGAATGTTCATTTTAAATTATAGGTATCAAATTTTTTTTCAAAATCCAAGTGACCATTACTTCACAAATAAAAGTTATAATAATGTATTGTTGCTAACCAAGCAAAGACAACCAATATGTAGGAAGTCTGGACAACTGTTGGATTTTACTGTGCAATCAATACTAAGTACCAGTGTTGATATTGTGGGGTCCTGATGAGGAAAGTCTGTGTTGCTTTTGTCATTTTAATTTGGAATAGATGTGGGGGGGTCTTCATTTGTTTCTCACTAGAAATTGTTTTTATTTTATTTTATTTTTTTATTCCTTTTCTCTCATGTCCATTTTTTCAGTTGTTGTTTGATAAAGTCAGTCAGATTTTAACCTGGTGAGACTTAGAGGGAGACAAGGAGTTTATTGACATGAATTAGTATCAGCAGTTTTGGTGCTCAGGCCCTAGCAGCTGACAGCTGAGCATTGCTGCTAATGATGATAGAATGGGCGGATTAGAATGGAGATGTCCTCCACTGAACACCGGTGGTGGACTGAATGATTAAAGAGGAACAGACCTGAGGAGGGACATAGACCAGGGCAGTGAAGGCGGTGGAAGTGGATTGCAGCTGGATGGAAAACCTGATTCCTACACTGTTTTTTAAAAGAAATATACTGAGGTACTATGTGCACATAAACACTTTCAAGATGTTGATATATCTTGTTTCACTAGTCAGTGCATTAGCAGTCTCCCTTCCTTGTTTATCAAAAGTCCTGCTACGGCATTTCTACAAAGTAAAACCAAAACCCCCAAATATCTAAAGCCAGTGTTTGTCCTCCCAAAGAGGGAATTTTAGGTTAAAGATTATCACTAGGTTAAAAGAGGAAAAAAGGGCTCCGACCTCACTGCGCTCAGTCTGTCATGTTGCGGTATCCCTCTGTCTTTTCACCACCTGATTCACTTGACAGCTCAGACCTGCAGGCAGAACTGGACTGCTCACCCCAAGACATCACACTAGAGTTCGCTGGAGCTTATAGCAGCTTTTCTGGCTCAGATTCTCACTGAGATAGTACTTACTAAAAATGCTCACACATTTATGCTGCAGATACAGATGTGATAGCTGCTCAGTAAAAGATATGCAAACTATGCTGATTGTCAGGTATGTGTTTATGGATTTGGCATGAGAGTTTATATGAGACTGTTGCCACCTTCTGGATATCACTGTGGCAACAAAAACAAGCTTTTTTGCTCAAATTCTTTATTTTAAGTAATGAGCACAAACCTTTTCACAAAGTGGATGATAAATTTCATCACAACCAGTAACTGAT